AGCATGGATATTTAGAGAGCTACAGTATGACATATGATCACACAGGTGCTATAAAAAGAATAAAAATCTTGTTTTAGTTATCTCAAAAAGACACTTAATTTTCTTTTACCATTCATATAAAATATTTTGGCAGCCAAAGGATTTGCGATTGAAAACTAAAAAACTTGAGAAAGTAAGAATAATTTTGATCTGCTCTATTTCACCTGTATTAGTAGTCCTTTTTAAATGGGTTTACAGTTTTATTTAGCTTCTTTTGTAGGATTTCAAACCAACATCCATACATGCAGGCAGCATGGTAGTGCAGTGGTTAGGCTTTGCTTCCTCACAGCTCTGAAGTCCAAGATTCAGTTACTTGAGTGCTATCTGAAAGGAGTTTGCGTGCCCGCATTCACATGCAATTTCTCAGTTTCCTCCCACAGTCCAAAGACACATTGATGTTTAATTGGCTCGTGAGTGAGCGTGTGCATGCCGCTGTTGGTGTCTGTCTGTGCCCTGCAATGAACTGGCATCCCATCCAGTGGGTGTCCTGCCTTACATCCATTGCTTTGGTCTTCTTGACATATCTGAATATAAAACCATTTTATAATTTAAATAATTTTCAAATTTCTAAACAGTTGCTCAGATGCTTTGTAGGACATTCCTGAATACAAAAAAAAAATGTGTATTCCTTCATTTATATAATTGTACAAATACTAAGTAAACAAATTTATTCAGCAAGATGATCTATACAATGTATGGAAACAATGGGGAAAAATTATTCTTGCATACACAGGTGTAGAAAAAACGCAGACTGTGAATAATCAATACTGCTAAATCACAATATACCATACGTACAGTATGTGACCTCATACAAAATAGTTTAGAGCTATAGTCATCACATTTCACAAAAGGATATTACTTTCCTGGAATTATTTAAAAGAAAAGCTTTTAAAATAATTCTTGGTCTCAGAGGAACATCATACACAGGTTAAATTAACACAATTTTTGGTCTTGAAGTTATTAAGTTAAAAAGTCATTAAAAGTATGGTGCTGTTAAAAGTTCATTTTTGACTTCAACAGAATATGGGATCACAAACAGAAATGGGAGAGACATGGGTTTAGAAATACAGTATGTCATGCCAAAAGTCATGAATAACTGCAACCAACCAACTTGGCCAAATTGCTGAAGCCAACAATTAGGGATCAATAAAGAAGATGGACAAGATTTGGGGACTGATGAGCTAATCGTTAAAAAATGGGACGGTAATATAATATGAACTCACTGTTATGCTGCTGTCACTATCTGTACAGAACATTCAATTTAGGTTCTGAAATTTATTCTCTCCATCCCCTCTTCAATGGCAGACAGTTGAAATGGGTAAATCCAGCAAGTGTGGACAGATGAAAATGTGGCTAGAGCTCAGAAAAAAAGTAATTGTGCTAACTGCTTTAAAAAACTGATCTTGGCTTAAAGGCAAAAAGCAGTAAAGCAGGTACACAACAAAGAAAATAAAATGAGAGAAAGTTATCACATGTAACTTATATTAACTAATTTCTATCAAAATTAATATTTAAAAATAAAATAAGAAATAAATAAAATATTTAAATAAAAAAATAATGAAAAACCTGTCCAGTTCAAAAACAGATTTGTAAACAAGACTGTGATTTCACTATGGGACAAAAGGAGGTTTCCTACAATTCACTTTCAAGAACTGTTCTATATATTTAATCCATTGCATTTTTGAGATAAGGATAATAGGATTTTCCCCAAAGAACAGATTGCAACAGTAATGACTCTAGAGATTTACACTGCACAACTTAGTCCCTATCATAATATTTACCCTAACTTGAGAAATATTCAATATATGCTTTTCAGGCCTTCTGTGAACCAATACACAGTTAGGTGCTTTCCTTTGATACAGTTTTCTTTAATTATTTAAACAGAACCTTGAATTAGTTACACAAGGGCAGATAGAGATATACGCCTCATATATTACTTTGTCTGATCCCAGATACTCTGTAACTTCACAGAAGTACTCTCACCTGGCCAAGGGTATTTTGGTCTAGTTTTATGAAGTGAAAAAAATAAAGAAAAGCATTGAGTGCACTAAAATTCTGTTTGCTTCTAGTTTGTTATGTATCTATAACATCCTGCAATTAAAATGCAATATTCTGAAAATGGAGGCAATAAGGGCAAGCAAACAATATAGAGTACCTTTCACACAGGCGTGTCACTCATTACTCCCAATACGTGCTCATAAGCTCTCTTGCCAATATATTGAAGCGATGGATGCAGCACCTAATGCCTTCTGAATAAGTTTCCACATATAGTTTTAAAAATCAATATAAAACTATCCAATTAGAAAGGATTACTTTTCTCAGAATGAGACAATTCATAAATTTTGGTGAAAGCAGAGTTTGTACATACTTCAGATTCTACACCGTAGGCCCCACATGAGCTTCAGGCTTGAAATAAGACTTAGGTTGTAAACAGAACTTGTCATAAATTATGAACAAAACCTTGAAGTGATAAATGCCACTGTCAAAACTGTTTCTCTAAGCTCCAGGGTCTTACATTACACAGTAACACAAAACTTCAAGCATAATTTAAGTGCCAAACAAAACACCTGCCACGCTGTATCCTTGCAATTAAAGAGTCTTCTCCAAAGACAAAGCAACTGTCTGACAATTTAACATTCAACACTCCTTAATTCAGAAACAAGCCTCTCTGGCTCCAGTGTATTTATGGAATGCACACATTAAAAAAAATGGATATTACCATTAACATGATATATTGTATATACTGTAGCAGGAGGCTGAGTCTACACACATCCAATTTTTTTCCTTATTGCCTTTCTAGCATCATTATTTGTCGGTGTTGAAATGTCCTCCTTCTCTTTTTAAAATAATGTAACATCACTGTATTTCAGTGCTAGAAAAAAAAATGCACAAGAATGACCATGTAATCATTATGAAAAAGAAGTTATTTTCCTGAAGAAAAGTAAAGCACTGCACTGACATGTGGACAAAGCTGAATACAAACTCTGCTTTTACTTTAGTTTGCCTTAATCATAGCATCTTGCATATTTTATTGTGAAAGGTGTCATTTGTTCTGGAATTTTGCACTTCCGCAACAGTTTTTTTTTTAAATGAAGCCTTAGTTAATGCTGTAAATTGTTTACAGTACCAGTAAAAATTGGTCTAGGTTGATTAAACCTCTCGTAGCAGAATATATACTGTATACAGTATATTACATGGGGAAGCAATCAAACTTGTGAAGAAGAAAACCCCAAAATCCCCTGAACAATTCTTAAAGATCTTTACCACAGCTTCTTCTTAAGACACCCCCTACCCCCAGCCCGCCTTCTATTTCACATCATTAGCATGGCTGCATGTTCTGGTTTCCTCCTGCTTCCCAGAGAAATGCAGGCTAGTGTCACTGGAGTCTATCCGTGTGCGTCTGGTATCTCGCCCAGGGTGTGGTTCAAAATTGAGCCCTGTGCTTCTGGGATGGGTTATGGCTCTAGCCCTCACCAGGAATAAGCAACTTCCTAATCATAGATGCATAGATAGACCAAGGCACTAGACACAAAGGCCTTGAATTCTATCTGTATCTTGTAAATTATTGAATTTGCTTAAATTATACATTTACACAGACAACATGAAAAGGAACATACTCATTGGGCTATTTCATAAATACTGTTGATACATAAAGCCAGGAATGCAAGGTTAAAATGTAGCTGTGAGACGTTCTACTTTCAATGCATCTTTAGAGAAAGGTTGTGCATCAAAAGTACGCCCTCTTACAGTAACTGGAGATTTCCTGATCTTGAGCTACAGGATTATGATGAAAATGTCCCACCAAAGAAAACCCCAAGGTAAATAAAATGGCCAGTAGAGATTAAAAGCACTAAACCTAACAAATAAACCTAAAAAATAACAATTGTGTCTAGTTATTCAGCCAAAAGAATAAACAGCTCTGATGTAATTATATATTTTTTATTTGGTTGATAAGACTTTGTGCTTATTTATTCAGCTTGGTATTTTACCGTATCAAACGGAGTGGTTCAATGGACACTCCTTGTGGAAGACTTTCAGACAGTCTGAAAGGATTCAATCAATAACAATCCGAAAAGATAAAAAAAAGTCAGACTTGCAAGTACTGCACCCATATTTAAAAGGTACAGGTAATATTATACAACTAATTTTGTCTGGAAGGTTTGCCTTCCTCTATGTTTTATAAACACATTTTAAAATAAGTAAAAAAAGAATCTTCAAAACGTTTAATAAATGATAATTCATTGCTCTCCCTGAGAGACGAACAATATTCAGAATACGGTAGACAGAGGCAACTTAGAATTGCCTAGGTTTGCTTTCAAACGATATGTGATTTTTGTATGCAATACTAAATAATTCTACCCACTTCATGGTACATCGCACATCGGACGGTATAGCCCCCACCCCCGCTAAATTTTATTGGACATTTAATTCTCCAGAATCCAATATATAAAGTGAAACATCCAAATACCGAAGTTCTTTAAAGATTACATCCTCTTATGTATACCTTACCTGAAACCAATAGTTATATGTATGCTGTCATTAAATCGACGCCAACAAGATGACATCTAAGCTTCATGTCTGAACAAGAAAAAGCTGACGTATCCAAGGTTTCAGACTTGTTAGCAATTTAAAGTTGCATTAGCAATCGAGTTAAACCAGCCACGACAGAGGAACGTGTTAACAAGACCTCAACTTCACAGCTTTTTTTGGGGGGCTGAAACCTGAATGCCAATCAGATTTCTAAATAAAGTACACTGGCATAACTAAAACGAAATATATTTTTATTTTTTTTAAGTAGGTTTGGTAGGCGAGTCATTATTTTGGCATATATTATTCTTAGCAGGTGGTAGCCGCTGTCCATCAGTTGCTTGCATAATTCCGCGGTATGATTGGCTTATATTTTAAAACCACAAAGAAACAGACAGAAAAGTAATAAAAATAATAATTATTGACATGCTTACCGGAGTTTTCAACGATGCACGATATCCGGTAGTGATTTCTGCATTAATTTCTGAACAACGCAAGTCCAGATGGGTCAATTACGTCCAGTGTGGAGCCGTCCTAAATCAAACTGCACAATTCCTGTCTTCCGACGCTACTCCTCAAAACAAACCGTCTTTGACTGCCACAAAAAAAAAAAAAGCTATTGAGGAAAGGTCTAGTTTTAGCTACTCTGGAAAACAGCCAAGAGAGCAGTCTGCGTTCAACAACTGGAGAACTAAACACTGCTGCTCTACCCTAAGCCTCAACTTCAAAAAGTCTTTATGTTAGGCACGGGTATTTCTAGCCAAACAGCTGAGGATTTTCCCTTTCATGGGTCTCTGTGGTATCATTGAGTTTCATGAAAAATATTAAAAGTTACAATTGCCAAGTGTGTTCGTAGACTGCTGCCTACTACCCACACAGAACTTAACGGTACATCTGGTAGAATGAGGCTTTCTTTGTTGAAAATCGTAATAGCTCTTTTGAGAAAGCGATGTTACCACCCATTACGTTTGTTTACCTTATCATCAGGTGATAATGACAGAAACATAGTAAGTCAGTAAGGGCAAGGTCTAGTTCAGTGTGAAAATCACTTCCTTTATTCTTACTTAATAGTGTTATTGTTTTCACGTGTTGACCGCTTGAAATATATTTCCAATCAAATCTTTCAATTTAAAACATAATATTCATGCAGAAACAATTATTGTTGCTTTTTCAAAGATTAAAGATACATCAACGTTTGTATATTTATTGTGTGACCGTTAACGCAACTAAAAGTGCGTTTTAAAGTTGTTGAATGACAATGGAATAATGACTGCGTTCCAGTTATGAAAACTTAGTGAACATAGTGCCTTTAAACATGCATCAGATAAAAACATTCTGCCTATTAGTCACATCAAACTAAAAAAAGTAATATTGTATTACAATAAATATAACGTTTGAACAAAATACTATTTCGGCGGTCACATATTCACTACACTTTTTATAGAGTGATGTTATTCCTCTTCAATGGTAAGAATGTAAACTTGATGCAGCTCATTTCCATCTGCTTATGTTTCCTGAAAAACAGAACAATAAACAAGTTTGTGGTATTCTGTTAGTCATGAAGTCTCATGCATCAAAACAAGATTCCATGGTGTATCCTTACTAATTCACCCCCTCAGCAGAAACAAAAAAACTTTTAAACTTATTTACATGTGTTCGTAATCTCCCTGTTATATTCATGTTGGTTGATGAAGCATGAAGTTACAAAGCTGACTCCCAGCCCTGGTCCTGGTTTTCTCCCTGTTTTTGCTCCATCTGAGTTCTACATCTTGGGCATATGGACTTCAATTACTGTACCTTGAGTTGATTTTTGTTTGAAAATTTGCCTTCAGCTTTTAAAAACTAATTTTTAAATTGGTACCAACTCAGTACCAGTTTCTGGAGTTTATAACAGCGAGCTAAAATGTGATCAACTGCACATCTGGAGACAGAGGAAACGCAGTGTGGGGATGTCTGATCCATTGCCATTCCCTCATATGTCTGAT